AAAAAAAATGATGATAATATCAGTAGCTAACAATACTTACTAAATGCTAGGCACTGTCCCATGCACTTTTACCTACCTAGAGTAGTCCGTATAATCCTTACAAAGTCTTTTTGTCCTCCTTAAAAGACTAGAAAAAAGAGGCCAGAGAAGTTACCTAACTTGTCTGAGGTCACGAGACTGACAGGGCAGGATCTGGGCTCAGGCCACCCGACTGTCAGGACCACAGTGTCACCCATTGCACTGATGTGCATTGTGCAGTGAAGTAGCATGGACAGCTCAGACTGGCAAGAGGAGAGAGAGCAGAAGAGCAGAGGACTAGAGAAGCAGACACGGGGCAGAGTGAGGAAGGCCACTCGGACGCCAATCATCATTTTAGGAAAGTTAGCGCTGCGAAAGAGAAGGGGGCCTAAGAGAAGGAAGACAATGAGGGCAGGTGCAACAGTCGTGGTGTGAGGTGGTGAGGGCCAGGTTGAAGGAAAGGTCAATAGGGATGGGTGGGTGGGGACAGATTAAATGGGATTGGGAAGGTAGAGAACCAACTGGACAGTCGTATACTACCTGGTGAAAACTTCGGAGAATTTGCATAGTGACTGTGTTTTGGCAGAGTTCCTTAGGATATGAGCCTAAAATTGGTTACTGCTGCTTCCAGACCTCAAATCTTTCAGCTCTTTGAGAGTGCAATGTTGCTGACCTCATTTCCCCAACCTGTCAGCTTAAGAGGGCTATTTAAGTTGTCACTCCCAAGCTCTGCTTTAGCTAAAAGGTCCGGGAAGCCACCTCACACCGACCTCTTCGTCTCGATATTATTCCAATCAGGTGTGGCATTCAGACATTTCAGTTGGAGAATGTATTACCACTCTAAAACTTGCAGGAGTCGATGAATGCAGGTTTTCAAACCTGTGTTTCTAAAAATGGGACAAGAAGCTTCATCCTATTGTACTTCATGAGATCAAAATCTCTTTTCTGACAAAAAAGGAGACATCTATGACTTTTTCAACATGAATGTGCTTGTTAAGTGTTCACCTTTTCTTCCCCTTTCTTAAGAGTGCTTGGCCAAATTGCATGTGGCACGATACAAAATATAAAATAAAACAAAAAACCCCAAATGGGAGTTAAAAACTTTGGTCTTTGTTCTGGTTTAATCACTTAATTAGCTGTGCAGGTCGCAGCCTTTCTGTGCCAAGGTTTCCTCATTGATAAAGGAGAGGGTTGGCTTAGGTGACCTTCCCAGATCTGTGCCCCCATGGTCAGAAATAATGCTCTTTATCTTTCCTCAGAAATGAAAATTAAAAATGGAGACAATAATTAAAGAGCTAAAATCGCGTATTTGAGGAGAGGCTGTTAACGTAAAACAGCAGCACTTCCGTAATGGTTACCACACAGGCGTCCTCAAACTACGGCCAGTGGGCCACATGCGGGTGTTTTTCCTGTTTGTTATTTTACTTCAAAATAAGATTGTGCAGTGTGCATAGGAATTTGTTCATAGTTTTTTTTAAACTATAGTCTGGCCCTCCAACGGTCTGAGGGACAGTGAACTGGCCCCCTGTTTAAACAGTTTGAGGACCCCTGCCCTAGAACATAAGCTTAGCTTAAGGACAGGGACCACTTCCAGCTATTTTCCGCATGTAACGGGAAAGACCACACGTGTGGTGGGCAGGGCTGGGGGCTTTCCTCGGTTCTGGCGAGGACGAGCAGCCCCACACACAGGGTGGCACCGGCTCAACACGGTCCGCGGCAAACCTGACCTGTGCTCCTTCCCATGTCCCACCGGCTGTGATTCACGGTGGCGCCTCCTCACCAAATTGAAGCCTGCTCGGAGAGAAGCAACTCGTACTTGCTCTGGCAAACAGGAGAAGAGAGAACTTTTTGGCTAGTCCACCGCCAGGACTGCGGTGGCTGGTTCCAGCAGCGACTGGGAACCCAGAGTGGCTGAGGCTACATGAAGCTACGACAGAGCAGGGTAAATGGGAGGTGCTTGGGGACTTTCCACTCCAACCTTGGGAAGCCGGAGGTGCAGCGGGCAACTGTTACTGCCCACCACACACATACTAGGAGAAATCAGCAACGTCCAACATGCTAATGAAAGCACCACATGGCAAGGAGTGCTATGATTTGGGGAGTTTTAGAAAGCTTCGATCGAGACAACTAGGAGTCAATGACTAAAGACAGCAACAAGGATTTCTCTGCAACAATCATGATCGAGGCCTCCCCAGCATAGAGGAGAAAGGGAAACAGAGCCAGGCTCCTGAACTGGCAGGATACCCAATGGTCTTCAATATCACTTAAAACACAACCACAGAGCCCAGAGCTGTGCTCCCAGAACCACGCTGCCTCCCTCTGAGGTGCACTGAGGTGCAAAAAGTGAAGCACTGAGGGAGGCTGGGGAGCGAGCGTGGTAGCCTCTTGCCTATGCTGCTGCTCCACATTCTGCTGCTGGAACACCCTGTGGACCGTTCAGTGCAGTGAAGGAAGAGTCTGGGCCCTGCTGCCTTCACCCTACCGTGTTTCCCCGAAAATAAGACAGGGTCTTATATTTATTTTTCCTCAAGAAGACACCCTAGGGCTTATTTTCAGGGGATATGTTATTTTTTTTTAAGTACGGTACAACAATCTACATTTATTCAAATAGAGTTAAGTCGTCTTCTTCTGGAACATCATCGTAACTCTCCAAACCCCAAATTCCATCCTGAATTTCTTGCGACTCTATTTCCTTTAGAATCATTTGCACCAAACTGTCGAGCAATAGAGCTCTCATGGGGCAGGTGAGAAAGGCTGCTTGTCTTCTTTACCTCTCCTCGATGAAATGCATGGGTTATGCAGATATGCTGCAGGGATGTACTTAGACTGACGCACTCTCCTGCAACCTCACCATGGCACTAACAAAGCTCCACTCCACAGACAAACGAACCAAGGTTCGGCGAGGCTAGCGAGAAGCAAGCCAGGGAGCCTGGAAGGAAGAGCTAGAGAGAACACTTGGTCCCAATGGTCAAGGAAGAGGCAGTCAAAAAGGAGCCAGAGGCCACAGGGAGAATAAGACAGGGACTGGACTGTGTCCTGTCCTTTGCACTTGGCAATGCAGAGGAAGCTGCCTGAGCTCTCTCACAGCATTTACAATTCTGTCGGTATCTGTCACACAGTGCTGCAGAACCAGAGTTCAAATATGAAATCTGACCCCATTTGACACTGAAGGGGGGACAATGGGACTACAGAGAGGCCCAAAGTCACCTGGGTTATAACAGCAGTGCACACCAGCCAAACTTCTCCCCTATTTCATTGCCTCTCACAAACTCTTCTCCAAGGCAGGCAGCAGGGACAGTGGTCAGGTCCTTAAATTTTGGTGCTACTGCCTATTTCAAAACACATGCTAACAGGATTTAACCAAGAATTTCACTCATTGTTAAAGGCAACTAGGAATAAGTGCCAATACACATCCAGAGCAACGAATGGCCTGCAGTCACTCTAGCCTGGTCTGCAACTGGCCATGCACCAGCCCTTACCTACCTCTTCATACCCACACACCTTGCTGTTCCCCTTCCTCAGGCAGCCTTTCAGCTCTGCTCTTTCTCTGGAATGTTCTCCATGCTCTCTGTGACCACTCATATCCTATCAGTCCGTCGAAATCCCACCTTTCCAGAAAATTCCAACCACTACTGCCTGATCCCACTATCTGACCATACATTAAGCCCCTTCATTCTCTTCTCTTCAGCACTTTCTTCCATGGAGTTTTTTATTTCACCTATTTCTGTTTTAAGTCTAAATATTTCATTGGTATCTTCTTACCCACAATACTTTAAACATCTTGAGGGTAGGAACGTTACTTCTGCACCATCCCCACAGAATTATGAACTTGTTCTATGCTAGGCTCATAATACAAATTCACTGAGATGGATTTTCCTTTTTCTACTCAGGAAAAAAAAAAAGGCGGGGGGGGGGCTGACTGTGGGTAGAAGTACACTAGAGAAGGATAAGGCTTTTGGAGATGTATACCTGTTTTCCTGTAAGCTACCAGCCTCAGTACAGAAATGCCAGTATGTACCACTTTATACTCACTAAGATGGTTAAAATAAAAAAGGAATAACAAGTGTTGGTAAAGACATGGAGAAATTGGAACCCTCATATATTGCTGATGGATGTAAAATAGCACAGCCACTTTGGAAAACAGTTAGCATGTTCCCTCCAAAGTTAAACATATTGCTGGGTACAATGGTTCATGCCTATAATCCCAGCACTTTGGGAGGACAAGATGGGAGGATCACCTAATGCAGGAGTTCAAGACCATCCTGGACAATATAGCAAAACCTCATCTCCACCAAAAAGAAAGAAAGAAAAAAAGAGTGAGACCCTGTCTCAAAACAACAACAAAAACGTTAAACTTAGAGTTACCCTATGACCCAGCAATTCCACCCATAGGTATATACCTAAGAGAATTCAAAACATATTAAAAAACTGGTATCTGAATCTTCATACCAGCATTACTGTAATAGCCAAAAAGTAGAAACAACTCAAATGTCCCTTAGTGAATGAATGGATAAACAAAACCAATTCCATTCAACAAACATTGTCAAGTGACTACAGTATAAAAGGCACAGTGTAAGGTGAAGACAACTAGGACAAATTTTAAAAATAATCAATTAATGGATTTTGCAAATATGAAACAGACTTTAAAAACCAAGCATCATTGTTCACAAAGTATTTCAATTAGCATATTACTTTTCAAGAATCTAGAAAAGTGAATTGGGGAGTTTATCAGGAAAAATGAAAACAACATGGGTTTAGGCATTTGATAATTATATAAAGGATTTCTGGAGGCTTAAGTAACAAAACTGATAACTGTATTACACTTTTTCCTTTGTTATTTTCTTTTCCCAGGCAGAATATAAGCTTAGAATTAGGGGCGATACGTTCAAATTCTCTCACATCCCCAGAGTATCACTCTATCCCCGGACCAGTTAGAAGATACTCAGCAAGAACACATTGAAGGAAAGAGTGTGGTCTGTTACCTTCAGGTCACGGTGGATAATGGGAGTTTTGCACTGATGCAGGCGGGCAACGGCTTCACAAGTATCACAAAATATCTGGAGCACTTCATTCTCTGTAAAACCTGTCTGCAGGCGCTGGTTCATCAGGTTTACCACTTGGCCTCCTGAGATGAGTGCAGAGCAAAGGAGAGGTTATAAACATTCAGACTTGTCACCTAGCGCAAGAGAATGAATGGCTGTCCAAAGGTAGCAGCCTGGACTAAGGTAACAGAGCTGATCATTGGCCAAGCCAGGACTAAAACCCAGGTGTCTTGACTCCCAGCTTGGGATTTGTTTTCTTACAATCCAATCCCTCCTTTAACATGTCAAAAACAGTTTCTTTATTTTACAAAGCACTCCAGACGTGAGCTGCCCCCATTATGTCTTCAAGATTATAGTAGAACTGACAATATGGCCCTGCTGTAGTTGCCTGATTATACTGTCCCAATTGTGTATGAGATGAGGCCACTGCCTCAACTTGCCATATCTGTGAGTGAGAATCAGAAAGCACAATAGATCCTGGGAGCAGGAATAAGACAGTTTTATAGTCTGCACTTAAGAAACACTTGGTCTCTCTGGCTTCACTACTTATTGCTTGGCCTGCAGAAATACTATACCAACATTTACTCTCTAGGACAAAAAGATTGATGGCCTCACTTAGAAAATCATCCAGATCCCTGGATGTTCCTACTACCTGGTCTCTAAACAATTTACTGTCCAAAAAGGAATAGGCAAACAGAAACAAACTGTCAAACTCAAATTTGGTAGTATTTTAGAAAACCAGGTTAATAGTTAATACAGTGAAGGCTGAAATTACTGATTAACATCACATTTTTGAGATTAGCCTCATATTTAATTTATGGACAGTATCTTTAAGGGTGAGGGGAATGTGAGTGGCACTAAGGGTGATTACAAAACAGGGCATCAAACAGTAAGACAATGACCTAAGCCAAACCTCCCAACAATGATTTTTATGAAATGCAGTCAACTCTGGATAAATCCACGCTACAGTTTGAATTTCCCAAGATAAATGTTTTTTGACACTTCAAGCTTTCAATTACTTAACTCTAACTGTTAACAGCAGCATCATTTGAACATAGCCTCACCTTACTAGGAATTACAGCTCGAGAACAAGGACAGGAGAGTCAATTCCATTAGATGGAAAGAATTCTTTTACCCCATAACACAAGGACGGTGGTGTGAATGGGAAAAAGAACACATGGGTGAGGAAGGGGGGAGGCTGCATTGTGTCTTTAGTCCAGCTGTAGTTGGGTCTTTATTATGTTCCTTCATCATTTGTTTTAAAGTATCACAAGGAACATATCTATTCTCATTCTTACATGTCATTTATATACAAGCATCAAATCTTCCTAAACTTAACAAAAATGGAATTTTATATTATCCATCACTTTCAATTGTTTGTGCCACTGCTCTTTGCCATTATAATAACCAAGAATTGACAGCAGACTCAGTGTCTTTTAACCTCTTCATTTTCTCATCTGTAAAACCAGAACAACATACTTCAGGGTGCAGGGCACATTAAGTGAAATGACCCCCATGCTCTTGACAATCAAAATGCTAGAGAAATGAGAGCTTATACATACATACCTCTACAGAAGTCCATCAGAATGAGAACTTCCCATACGTCGCCGCTACTCACATTGTTGATACTAGAATCAATGTAACCCACGATATTCTTGTGCCCTGACAGGTCCCTCTGTGAACAAGAGTTGAGAAATACATTATCAGTTACAGACACCAATTTGGACAGAATGAGGCAGTCAGTTCCATTAGCACAGATAATTTAAATACACGGAGATGACACTAACAGTCCTGAGAGGTAAGACTAAAGAGCAGGGTCAACAACAGGTTTCCAGTGGTCTCTGAGATTCACAGCCAGATCTTCAGTAGCAATCCCATGACCTTACTAAACCAGAGCACTCTTTAAAACCTACATTCTAGAGTCAAATGCACACAGAATGCCTACTTGCTCACTGCATCAATGCTCCATATAAACCAGAAGCAAAGACCCCCATCTTCAGAAACACTGCAGAAGGGTTAGGGGTACCAAGACAGTATGGACTATTTAAATATGTGAATTTTTAATTAAGAAGAATAAAATTGATGTTATCCCTGGTTGTGGGGGCAAAAGTGAAGCCAACTTGACTTTTAAATAGTTTATACTGTTTTCTTCCTTTAGGAAATAAACAAAAAGAATAACTATTTACAAAGTTTTGAAGGGACTACAATAGCATCTAGACCTAAGCATTTTGCTCATAATTAAGCCTTTCAAGCCAACCAACTGGGACAGAAGATGGGGCATGTTTCCAGCTCTTCAGTTGCAATTACAGCAAGCAGTTCCAGCTGCTTCCATTGAGGCATCTCTTAGGGTTGCTTGTGGGATTCATTCATCCAGCAAATATTTACTGAGCACTTCCTATGTGTCAGGACCCATTTAGGCACTGGAAGCTGCCTCACATCTTGGTATAGTTGTTTCAACATCCATGGAGGCGGATCTTTGTAATGATGGTGTTTAAAACCCCAGGTCATTAACAACTAAGTTGTGGGAAGAAAAAGTAAGCAAGCTGGGTAATATGATATTTTTGCACAAATACAAGGTAAGGTTTTATTTTTTAAGAACTAGTTTTAATAAATTTTTTACTTTTGTTTAAAAAGGTCAGGGGGAGGGAGTAGAAAACATGTGGTCCTATGAGAGTCACCATACAAACTTGGCAGTCTGGTCTATGAGAATGAAAACTACCACCACGCTAACTAGAGATTCAGTGTTTAAAGTGACACAAATTATATATCAAAATAAGAGGAAGCTTCACAGTAGTGAACACACCTGAACCCTGAGTACCAAAGTTAAAACTCATTAGAACTTTCCTCTGAGTGATGGATTAGGAATAACTATTGCCTCAGATATAGCAGACTTAAAAAAGGGGGGGAGGGTAGACAAAGGCTAAAAGGTGACCTTTGCAGGAACTGGCAAATGGAAATCAGTGGAGACTTGTGACAGTAATTTCAGAGCAAGGATGGGATAGTGGTGAGAATGGAAATGGACTTGCAAAGAATGACAGTTGAGCAGGTAGAGCCAGGGACTGCAGATTGCTCTTCCAGAATATCTGTGCTTAAGAAAGGAGCAGCAATGAGGGAAGGAATGTTTAGGATGGGAGAAAATTGAGCACTGGAGAGCAGAAGGGGCCAGGAAAAGAAAGCTTTAAGATACTGGACGGGCGCGGTGGCTCACGCCTGTAATCCTAGCACCCTGGGAGGCCCAGCCGGGCGGACTGCTCAAGGTCAGGAGTTCGAAACCAGCCTGAGCAAGACCTACTAAAAATAGAAAGAAATCAACTGACCAACTAAAATTGACCAACTAAAAATATATATATACAAAAAATTAGCCGGGCATGGTGGGACATGCCTGTAGTCCCAGCTACTCGGGAGGCTGAGGCAGTAGGATCACTTGAGCCCAGGAGATTGAGGTTGCTGTGAGCTAGGCTGACACCACGGCATTCACTCTAGCCTGGGCAACAAAGTGAGACTCAGTCTCAAAAAAAAAAAAAAAAAAAAGAAGAAAAGAATACAGGAGAGGATGAGGACAATCGATGGAACAAAGTCTGGTAGACAGAAGGGTGGGGAGTAAGAGTACTGTTAAAGGGACTGGTATTAGAATAACATTTTTTTTTCTTGGCAAGCAGGAAGGAGGCAAGGATAAATGTGCATACTGGTTTAAGGCTTTAGAAAAAGGGATTTCAAGTGAGTTTAGATCTATTATTTTGGTGTTGGTAGAGGACAAGGTCATCTTTGAAATGTACAGGAAGGACAAAGAAGCTTGATGAGATAAAAGGCTTAGAGTCTTTGCTTTGTGTAATAGATAAGAGAGATGATGAGGCCAGAAAGCAGTCTCTAGAGTTCAAGTTTTTCCCAAACAGAAAGTGATTTCAGGGCTCAGGTTTCAGTGGCCTATTCTTTCCTCTGCTTTTCCATCTTATCATCGACCCTTCTAGAACTTGTTTCCATTCACACATTCCAAGAAGTAGGAAGAATTGGAAAGAAGCTCTTTGAATCCAAAATAAAGCAGATCATATCATGTCCTCCAAATGTCCACAAGGAGGAATGAAATACCAATGTCTCTAAATTCAGCTACTTGAAAAAGAACCAGCAACGTTGTCTCTGAGTTTGTTCCATCCCAAGAGGAATAACAAAGCATCTGGGAAGAAAGAAAAAAGTTTAGTGGAACCATGGCTATGTTTGAAGGTTTGTGCCCCCTCCAAAATTCATGTTGAAACTTAAATCCCCAATGCAACAGTATTAAAAGGTGGGGTCTTTAGGAGCGCTGGAGGGAACTAGCTAAGGCCTTTTGTCTTCTGCCTTCCACCATGTGAAGAAAGCAGCATTCGAGGTGCCATCATGGAAGCAGAGACCAGGCCCTTACCAGACACCAAACCTGCTGGTGCTTTGGTCTTGGACTTTCCAGCCTCCAGAGAGTAAGAAAATAAATTTCTGATTTTTATAAATTAACCAGCTTCAGATATTTTGTTACAGTAGCATGAATGGACCAAGACAAGCTAAGAACAGTTCAAGAGCCATTAATGGACCAAAACTGGATAATTAACATCTGCAGATGACACCTTGCAGTTTGCCAAGATGTCTGCTAAACAGTTCAAGTCCAAAGTGTAGTTCATTTTGTCTTCTGCAGAGCTCCTAAGATATGTCCAAGTAGAAAATACTCTCTGTCTGGAGGGAGATAATGGCATTACCTTTAATGACTTGATAATGCAACATCTCAGATTTTAGAGTAAAACCTCACTAGTTTATTAACTGATGGAGATCTCTTTGAATGGCTATGAAATGTAGAAAAGGTGAATATATATATATAACACACATACTATAATATATATATATATTTTAGGGGGTTGTAAGGAGAGGTGTTCAGTTACCTTGTTTGTTTTTGTTGAGACAGAGTTTCCCTCTGTTACCCTGGGTAAAGTACAGTGGCGTCATTGTAACTTACTGCAACTTCTAGGCTCAAGTGATCCTTCTGCCTCAGCCTCCCAGGTAGCTTGGACTACAGGTGTGCCACAACACCTGGCTGGATTTTTTTTTCCTTTCTTTTTGGTAGAAACAGGGTCTCACTGTTGCTCAGGCTAGTCTTGGACTCCTGAGCTCAAATAATCCTCCTGCCTCGGCCTCTCAGATTGCTAGGTCAAGAGAAAATCTTACCAAGAATTGAAACTGACTTGAATTTAGGGTACACTGGCAGCAGCTCCTGCCCAGTTCTTAGCAGCAACAGGCAGATGATGGCCAAGCTTTCCTCTAGCATTGGTAAAAAGACCAGCCGCAAGTTTGTACAACAGAAATGGATGCAGAGTTAGAGAATGGAAGCCACATGGGGAGTACTTCAGCTACCACCTGCTTCCTCAGAAACAGGCAGGATGTGGGGAAGATGCTTTGCTGTCCTTGCCTACAACGGTTATTTGGAGTATTAAGATTTTGACAAGTGTAAGTCAAAATGTGATTTTCAGGGCAGTGGAGAATATTCAGTTAAACTACAGATCACATCAGTTCCTACTACATGATTTAATCAGTCATCCTTTTAAAGAGTTTGCATTGTCATTTTAAAACGTATTTTTAAACTAACATTAAACAACATTAATAAAGTACTGACAAACTTTATTAATGTTATTAGAAGATTTGCTTTATTGAATAGATATTTTAAATGGTTTGTAGTTAGCTTATTAACTTTCATATTCAACTGCTTGAAGCCCTGAAAAGACTTTTTCATAAACACATGAAAAAGCTACCATTGTTGAAAAACAGGCCTTCAACCCATATCCTATAGATTATCATAAATTCTAAGTTTATCTGGGGTTCTAATTAATGGTACTTGTAGCACAGAACAATATACTATCCTTAGCCTCAAAATTCCTGTGATAGGAGAATTCCTAGTTAAGAACCTTAAGGCCTTATGAAAAAACCGAGGACTCAATTCCTAAGTACATCCATGAAAATCTTCACACATACATTCAAGAAAACGGAGATAGCATTCTAAATAGCATATCAATAACATGTTACTCATCTCAAAATAGTAAAAATGAGCATTGTATATAACGAATTTCCCAAGGAGGGCCACCCTTCCTTTGGAATTTCAGCATGCAAATTCCTGATGCTGATAGTGCTTGCATTTGCAGACAGTGAGTTTCTGAAGACGTATCTTTACCGGCTTTGATCCTCCATTCAAATGTTCAACAATTTTCAGATTTTATGACTCAGCACCATTGCTTCCTACTTCTGGAATCACACTATGTTTCCACAGACTCTCTTAAGCAATTTCAGCTTCTTAACTTAAAACATGAAGGAAAGCAGTTCTAAGGCCTGGAATTAGATTATTTCTCCCAAGGCTGTGTTATAAATGTCATCTTCTGCTTTTCCATTTCCTTCTCCTTTTCTCCCTAGAACCCTAAATTTCCTTTATAACTCTCTTCAAGAGGAGTTATTCACGGCCAACAAAACTATCAAGCCCAGTGCAACAGGAAAACAAAAAGCACTTTGAGATCTGGGCTAGCCCTGGATTTCTATTGGAGAACCTTTTGGACTTTTGCTACATAAAGAGTTCCAGATATTTTTCTCTTCCCTATACCCATCTTTATTCTCCCTTTCCCAAGTCTTACTTGTTAATTAATCCTGTACTTACTGAATAGACCCTTAAAAGTC